TTTTTATCACTTTCTGATGAAAGGCTTTAAAGATAAACGCAATTCGTCAACTTACCCCTGCGGCCAACTAGCCCCGGTCTCCCCTACTGTATTTTTTTTCGGATCATTCGGACTAATTACTGACTAACTTAGAAAATTACATATGTCCGGATTTTCTTATTCAAAAAACAGTATTAGTAGTTACTAAAAAACTTTCTTAAAAATTAAGTTTAAGATCTTAACTTCTAAAAACCTTTCTTAAAAATTAAGTTTAACATCTTTCTAGGTTAGTTAGCTACTAGTTAAAGTTTATTATTTCTTAAATAATTTTAAAAAATACAAAACAACAAAACTTTGAAGTGTTATTATGAATTATTTTGAGATTTCTTTACCGAAAAAAAATTAACAAAAATAGTCTTAGAAAAAAAGTCTAATATAAAACATTCACAAAAAAAAATGTAATAAAGGTATATATAAAAAGTGACAAACAAATAAATAACTGTATCCCTAGTGTTTTCTGCCAAGAAAGATAGACATGCATGACTAACTCGTAGAGTTTTGCTTTTTTTGTTTCTGGCTTTTGTAGCGCTGCGTGGCCTACCTAAATTACACGGCTGATTTGTTGCATTTTTCGTAAAAAATGAAGAGGCCAGTTTTTTTACGGCTCAAGTATAAAAACTTCATTTTTGATATTGTTAAAAGTCTTCTTTGCACTATAATTGTTTTACTTTTATTTTATTAAAACGGTTTAATAATAGTTAGATTTTCTTTGATTATTTACATTATTTTGTGCTAGATTTTTTGTTAACTGATTGCCTGCTTCAGTTTATTCCAATAACAAAGAATACTGAAAAAGGCTTTCGGATAGCTATACCAATACATAATAACATGCTACTAAAAATAATCTTACATATTGCTAAAACTACCCACAACTCTCCATTGGAAATAATTTTAAAAGTTTGTAATTTCGTATTTATTATAATTGCAATTATTAAGTAGAAAACATAAATTTTTCTTCAAAACATTTACACTGCAAAACAATGTTTTGCAATGTAAATTCTCTATTATGCTGCATGTCTCAAACATACAGAAATTAAAATGCAACCAATCAGGCCATTTATTTACAGTAGGCAAGAAGTATCAGGTATACCCCTTTTGTACACCATGATTACAAAAGTACACAATTCATTTTGTTCATTTTTCACTATAAAACTTAAGCAAAACAATAACTAAATGTACACGATGTGTACATTTGTGCACTTCAGTCTTATTCTATATTTTAATAAAATTTTATATACCCTATAAGGAGGTCTAGTACATTTGTTTTATCAAAAAAAAAAAATTTCAAACACATTATATGTGCCCGTGCCAACTGTTTTGGAGTTAATAGTTGTTAATAAAATTCTTATTTTTTTCATTACCTTATAAATGCTTATCATATTTTTTTATTTAAATGGTTTGACAGTGGTGAAAATTACAAATTGAAAAACTATAATATATTAAAAAAATCATTGACGAAAATTTGATATTTAGTGATTAATTGCTTCTTGTGGGTAAGATGTACTTCCAAAAAGCAGCCCAAAATGGTAAACAATTTAATAAATATTGAGAAAATAATCTTTATAAAGAATTTGTTTTTGTTTTTATGATTGTTGGACTTTAAAAATTTATTCTTATGTTTTGAAATCCTCAATTAAAGTTTACATAACAGGTTTATTTTTGAAAAAAGAAATTGATGAGTGTATTACCTCAGTGCACCAATCTGAATTTAAGATAAGAATTGTTGTTACCGATAACCATTCTACAAATGTTAATGCATTTTTATAGTTTCATAAAGTATATACTGGAGATGGAAAATTATTAATTTATCATTTAGTTTAGAAAAGGAGTGTTTAAAACATACTTTTTATTTGATAAACTCCGTTTTTGTTTTTTTCTTCTTTTTCATTTGATTTTTCCAGAGACTATGTTAAAGTTACTTCTGGTTACATTGCAAAAAATATATTTCTTAAAGTTTATTAAAAGATCAATTATTAAACAGGCAAGAAAAAGCAAGAAAAATTAATTATTAAGTCATATATTTTGAAAACAACAAAAAAGTTGTCAACATTGACAATATTTGATGAAAAAACTGCAGCTGCAATTTAGAGTTATTTTTCTAAAAGAAATATCGCCGCACAACATGTATGATTGTTTTATAAGTTGTTTATTATACTTAACTCAAAGCAGAAACTTAATTCATCTAATCAAACTCAGCTATGCTGCTTTGAAAGGTGATAACAAACCTACACTTTATAGAGAAATTGCAAGTTGTACTAAAATTTGATCAAAATAAAATTTTTAAAAATATTATGCAAGATATTGCTTAGTTATCTACATAAATACTAGTGTCCGCTTTCTGAAGATAGCACATATATAAATACTAAAGCAAGTAATAATGGTAAAAATTAACAAAAAGATTTTGATATTAAACTTATGATCAATAAACCTTACTTTATTAAGAGAAGAACCGATATATTCAATTCAACCTCTGTCTAATTTTATTTGTCATCTTTTTAGTATTTTATGTTATTTCTCTTATTCTAATAAAACATTGCAGTCAATTAAAATTTTCAATTTTAATTGACTGCAATGAATTTTTCAATTTTATTGAAAAATTTTATTTAAAAATTTTATTGCAGTATTAATTAATTTAATTGCAGTCAATTTTTTTCAATTTTTCAATTTTTTCAATTAAAAATTTGCGAAACAAATTTTAAAGATTTAATTTAGCAGTTTTAAAAATTACATTATTTTCATAACCACCAAAACAAATTACATTATTTTCATAACCACCAAAACAAATTACATTATTTTCATAACCACCAAAACAAATTACATTATTTTCATAACCACCAAAACAAATTACATTATTTTCATAACCACCAAAACAAATTACATTATTTTCATAACCACCAAAACAAATTACATAAAATTAAATTAAACAAATTTTACAAATGAAATCCACCAAAGTAGGTAATCAAATATAGATCTCGTATTGTTAATAATATTTGTCATAATAAAAAGTTACATTTTCATTGAGAAAAAATCAAGTAAAAGAATTCCAAAAAAGACAAAAACAAAATAAACATTTCTAGCAAAAATTCTTCTTTTAATTTCATTTATAAAAAGTACAAAACTACAAACCTTTTTTTTTGTTCCATGATGAGTTTTAGGCAATCTTAGCAATATGAAAGATTATTTTTAGTAGCATGTTGGTTTGTGTTGATATAGTTATCTGAAAGCCTATTACAGTATTCTGTGTTGTTGGAATAAACTGAAGCAGGCAATCAGTTAACAGAAAATCCAGCACAAAAAAAATGTAAGTAATCATAGAAAATCTAACTTTTATTAAACTATTTTAATAAAATGAAAATGAAACAATTACAGTGCATAGAAGACTTTTAACCATAACAAAAATGAAGTTTTTATAATTGAGCCGTAAAAAAACTGGCCTCTTAATTTTTTACGAAAAATGCAACAAATCAGGCAGTGTATATTAAGTAGGCCATGAGCACTGTCAGAAAAAGAAAATATTAGATGATACTTAGAATACAGATTGTACAGATTGTGGCATAGGTATGGTTTTTTAAAATGTTGTTAGTAATGATTGCAAATATATATTCAGATTTCTGATCTAAAATCTATACAAATCCAATCTTTTAGTTGTGCTTTTTATATCAATGAGTAAGTCCTGAAACAACTTATTTATTCTGATTTAAGTGGTCTTTGTCGTACACTATAAATATAAAAAAAATACATTATACAAAAAACATTACAACACCAAAAAGAATGTCAAACTAAGAAATGTTTTTGTAATACATAGTAAGAAAAAAATTTGTGTGTGTATCATAATACTATTTAATATTTTAAATTCTATCGTTTGATATACGACACAAATTTAACAAACTAATTATTAATGACTTATTAAAATTTTTTGTTTCAGCTATTACACAAAAACTTATTATTTTAACTATTATGCAAAACTTATTTGTTCATTATCTCAAAATAATGTTTTTGGACTTATTGTATTTCCCTTTAATACATATATATATATATATATATATATATATATATATATATATATATATATATATATATATATATATATATATATCACGGCTGTTTTAAAGTGGACATACGGCTTCTTTTTATTTTCTCAAAATAATTACTTCCCAGCGGGCACGGAAACGTCCATATGACGTCGAAAGGACGTCTTTTTAGGATGTCCAGAACTGGTTCTAAATGGCAACGCCAGATGACGTCATTTTAAGACGTAATTAGGACGTCTTTTTAGGACGGAATAAAGATGTGTTTTGAGACGTCTAAAAGACGTGAATTTAGGACGTTCAGAACTAGTGCAAAATGGAAACGCCGAATGACGTCGTTAAATAACCTAATTTAGACGTTCTTATTTCGACGTCTAAAATACGTGTTCTAACATGGCTTTACTTAAAGGTAAGGTTCAAATTTATGTTTTTACAAAACTTCTTGAGAATGAGAAAAAAATAATAAATCATTTAAATTTTTTAATAATATAATTGTGCTGAGTTTTATAAATTACAACTTTGTAAACTTCTTCTTCCACTTGTTAATTTCCAAGAATCGAATTTTCGAACAGTTGACGTCATTCACCTTCTTTTCGATCAGATGCACTCTTTAAAATATTGCCACCAGCATTTTAAAGTTTTTCTTTTTGCTGTAGGAATCAGGAAAGCAGTCTTAACCTTAAAAAAAATATTGTTAGGATAAGTATGTAAAAATAAAGGGGAAATAAATAACACACATATATATATTTATTATTTTATAAACATAACATAAAACATCAAAAAATACAAATTTCTCAACACTAAATTTATTTTTTTAAAGAAATTTTTGACTGGATTGTTGTGACCAGCGTATATATTTAAGTATATCAAGTATGCAATATAATTGTGGTATTAAAAATGCTCTTTTTATAGTAAAATTAAACTTACTTTGAAAGCATGCCCTTCTCAAATGCACTGCATGATGAGCCACCAATATTTAATAACTTCTATTTCTAAATTCAAAAGATAACACTAGTGTAATTGATATGGGACAATTTAGTGTAAGTTATATTGGGCATAGGAGCAATTCATTAGTGTTTTATTCAATTCAAAAATTTTGTGCAAATTATGTTTACTTGTAAAGTAAGCATTATGTATATAATTACAGATCAAAATTTTTTATGTAATTAACCCTTATAAAAAAAAAACTAAACATTCAACCATAATAAAAAATATACTACTTTTTGCAACATTAGTATCGAGAAATGATTGATCACATTCAAGAAACTTGGCGATAGAATCATACTAGTAAAGATCAAAACTATTCTCAACTTTAAACGTTTTTTATATTTCATTATTCTTAAGATAAGTAAGTAAATGAATTAAAGACTATATATTATAATTTATACATATTTAAATTATAATAGAAAAAATATATATTACATCTTCGCTTCCAACAAGGCTGCGAACAAGATAACAATTGACAGATGACTTAAAAGATTGCAAATTATATGAATCAGGGAAGCAAGATGAAGGAAGCAAATTTCAAAGAACTGATGTTCGAAGAAAAAAACTAGCTTTAGAGCAGTGCCAATTATAGTATTTGTAGAAAACAGAAAAAGAAGCAACATCACGACGATGTGACAATGGTTGAAGATTGGCTACACAAGCAGGTCCAACTATGTTTACAATGCGTTTTTGCACCTTGTCTAAAAGAGAAAGGGCATCAATAGAAGATCTGCCCCAGATATGGCAACAGTATTCCATACAGGGACAGATTTGAGATTTATAGAGATAGAGAATAGAATCTAGAGTAAGAAAGTGTCGAGCTCGATAGAGAGATGCAACCTTAGCAGATGCTAAATTTGGAATAGATTTGATATACGGTTTAAAAAAAAGATCAGAAGTAAAAGTTCATCAAAGAAGATGAAGGGTATATGACTCATCTAGTACATTACCATTCATAAATATAGGAAGATCAAAATTATTGCGATAACGATTAGCCGAAAAAAATTGAGTTTTGTCTGAAATAAAGTTCAACAGCCATTGTGAGCCACATGCTGTAGCAGAGGTGAGATTTTTATCAAGATAACTAGTAGTGTCATCAGCAAACAATGCCACCTTAGAGGTGATAATATCTGGAAGATCGTTAATGTAAATTAAAAAGAGTATAGGGCCAAAGATTGAACCTTGAAGAACCTCTGAAGTTACAGGATATGAAGAAGATATATATATATATATATATATATATATATATATATATATATATATATATATATATATACATATAACTAACTTAAAATTTTACTAAATACATCTTTTGAAAGGAAATTCTTAAATTTTCTTTTTTTCTTGCTGAATTGACTAGGTACCTATTTTGAGTATTGAGAAGTATTAAAAGAATTAATTTATAAAGATAAAAGGCCTAGATAGTTAAAATAACTTCCAAGATAGTTATTACAAGAAAAAATATTACTTACATTATTCTTTGTAAAACTTTAAGATTTATCATTGACTTCATATATTTTCTTTAACTTTGTTTTGGGAAAAGCGAAATTTTGAATCACATACTTTCAAATTTTAGAGGAACTGAATGAATTAAAGAAGTTGTTACTAATAAAAATTCATTAGGCATATTACATAAAATAAATTATATTACATTAACCATTACATAAAATGAACTATAGCCAAAACCATTGTTCTATTTTTTTAAAACCAAAGGCAAAAATAAAAATGAACTTTAGAGTTAAATACATTTAATCAAATAAAATTTCTTTAATTTAAAACAAAAAAATGGTCAGGTCAGGTTTTCCTGCTACTGGTAACATGTAACCCAGTACAGCCTGCTTCATGTCCTGCTGCCTTGTAGGATACGCTTTTTTAGGCAAAGGCTAGGAGAAGTTAACTCCGAATTAAAACACCCCCTGCCTTGGGGCTCTTGGTTGAGTGAAGGCTAGAGACGGTGTCTCGATAAAAATACTCATCTTGGGCAGATGTTACATGCATCCAGCTGCTGTCTTGTAGAAGGCCTCCTAGGCAAAGACTTAAGGGGAAAACAGATTCTTTCTGTTGACCAGCCTCGCACCGCTTCCTTATCTATTAGGCTGGCGCAGATGTATTTTTAATACATTGTTTCCAGTTTAGAATGTTGAACGCTAAATCTTCTTGACTTAATGCGTGGGTATTGCTTGTGTCTCTATTTTTAAGACTGGGCAACTCATTCTATTATCTCCTAATGAGGGTAAAGCTCTAAAAAGTTTTATGGTTCTGAGGCCGGCTGGTAGTCAGGTTTCTCGAACTCTGTGGTAGCTCTCAGAGAGGTTGATTCCATCAACAGCCGAAAAATATCAGAGTACTAACAGTGCCATGCTGCGCATGGATGGTGTCCCTGTTTGTACTTTTGGTGTGCATTGCAGAGGCCACATTTGGAGCCCTTTGTTACGGCTTAGGGTTTATTAATAGTAATGAGGCTATTGCTTAGTTGTTAAATAGTGTACTGAGTACTATCTATACTTGAGTCAAGTTCTTTATAAATTCAAAATGACTAAAGTACCTAAAACTAAAAAACACAAAAAACCATCGTCATCACCAAGTTCTCTAAACCTATCATTTACTAATATTCGTGGTCTTCGAAGTAACTTTTCTTCTGTTGAGTCTTATCTCTTGCAAAGTTCACCAGACCTACTTGCTCTTTGTGAGACTAATTTGAGTTCGGCTGTCCCATCTTGTGATCTTAGTGTTGATGGTTATCTTCCTTTAATTCGTAAAGACTCCAATAATCACATGCTTGGCCTGGGCATCTACATTCGTAAGAACTCACCCATTTGTCGTGAAACTAGGTTTGAATCTACAGACTATTCATTTATGTGCTTTCGTTTAGCACAACTTCACTCTATCGCCTTTCTCTTTGTTCTATATCGCTCTCCTTCATCCCAAGATTGCACTATTCTTGATGCTATTTCTGATCAAATTGACCAAGCCCTCTGTCTTTATCCATCGGCCAATATCGTCGTTGTTGGTGACTTTAATGCCCATCACACCTATTGGCTTGGCTCTAGTGTCAGTGACTCTGCTGGCGTTAAGGCCCTCAACTTTTGCCTTTCTCAATCTCTAACTCAAATAGTCAACTTTCCAACTCGTTTTTCAGACAACCCTAATCATTTACTTTCTCTACTCGACTTATGTCTTGTTTTGGATCCTAGTCAGTGCTCAATTTCTCCACATTCACCTTTAGGTACTTCTGATCACGGTTTGATCTCTCTAAAACTATTATCAAACTCTTCTACTTCATCAGAATCCCCCTATCATCGTACCACATACAACTACCTTAAAGCTGACTGGGACTCTTTCCGTGATTTTCTTCGTGATGGCCCTTGGGTAGAAATCTTTCGTCTTCCTGCTGACAAATGTGCTTCTTACATAACTTCGTGGATTCAGGCTGGCATGGAATCTTTTATTCCCTCTCGACGATTCCAGGTCAAGCCTCACTCTTCTCCTTGGTTTTCCTCACATTGCGCTGCAGCAATTTCTAATCGAAACCGTTACTTCCATATCTATCAGCAAAACAATTCTCCAGAAAACAGACATCTGTTCACTATCGCCAGAAACCATTGTAAAAAGGTTTTGTCTGACGCCAAAGCTCGCTATTCTCAGGTCATTAAATCTCGTATCTCATCACAAAAATTAGGCTCTCGAGACTTCTGGAGAATCTTTAACAGTATCAATAATAAGGGCAAATCTGTTATTCCTTCTCTCTTGTATGGTTCAGACTTTGTCACCTCACCTAAAGACAAAGCTGAATTGTTTGCTAAGAACTTTTCATCAATATCATCTCTTGATTCCACTAGTTGCGTTTTACCTGACATAGCTGTCAAACAGGTTGATCCCTTGCTTGACATTCGCATCACTTCAGCTTCTGTATCAAAAGTAATTTCCTGCTTAGACTCTTCAACAGCTTGTGGTCCTGACAACATTCCTGTTGTAGTCTTGCAGAGGTGTTCTCCGGAGCTTTCATCCAAACTTTCAAAACTATTTAACAAGTGCTTATCAGAGTCTTGTTTTCCATCATGCTGGAAAGCAGCATCTGTTATCCCTATTTTCAAAAATTCTGGAGAGCGATCTGATTCATCTTACATAATTACATCTGTCATAAGCAAGGTTTTTGAATCTTTAATCAACAAACACTTAATCTCTCATCTTGAATCAAATAACTTACTTTCTGATCATCAATATGGATTTCGGTCTTCTCGTTCTACAGCTGATGTGCTAACAGTAATAACCGATAGGTTTTACCGTGCATTAGATAGAGGTGGAGAGGTTAAGGCTATCGCACTTGACATTTCTAAAGCTTTTGATAAAGTTTGGCATGCTGGTCTTCTCCATATGCTTTCTTCTTATGGTGTAGCTGGTAACATCTTTAAGATTATTGAGTCCTTTCTTTCCAATCGTAGTATAAAAGTTGTCCTCGATGGACAACACTCTTCTTTACATCCTGTAACTTCAGGGGTTCCTCAAGGTTCAATCCTTAGCCATATACTCTTTTTAATTTACATTAACGATCTTCCAGATATTCTCACATCTAAGGCGGCATTATTCGCTGACGACACTACCATTTACTCTTGTCATGGTAAGAAGCCAACACTCTCTGATTGCTTGGAGGGGGTATCTGAGCTTAAAAAGGATCTCACTTCTGCTACAGCATGGGGCTCACAGTGGCTAGTGAACTTTAATTCAGATAAAACTCAATTTTATTCGACCAATCGTTATCATAATAATTTAGATCTTCCTATATTTATGAATGGTAATGTACTAAATGAGTCATCTACCATTCATCTTCTAGGATTAACTCTTACTTCTGATCTTTCTTTTAAACCGTATATCAAATCCATTGCAAAATTAGCATCTGCTAAGGTTGCATCTCTTTATCGAGCTCAACACTTTCTTACTCCAGATTCTATTCTCTATCTCTATAAATCTCAAATCCGTCCCTGTATGGAATACTGTTGCCACATCTGGGGCGGATCTTCTAATAATGCTCTTTCTCTTTTAGACAAGGTGCAAAAACGAATTGTAAACATAGTTGGACCTGCTCTGGCAATTAATCTCCAACCATTGTCACATCGTCGTAATGTTGCTTCTCTTTCTCTTTTCTACAAATACTATAATGGGCACTGCTCTAAAGAGCTAGCGTCCCTTGTGCTATCTACTAAAATTCATTCTCGTGTTACTCGCCATTCAATTAAGTCTCATCCTTTTTCTGTGACTAAGTGCTTCAAAAAATCTTATTCTTCTAGTTTTTTTCCTCGAACATCAGTTCTTTGGAATTCTCTTCCTTCATCTTGCTTTCCTGATTCATATAATTTGCAATCTTTTAAGTCATTAGTCAATCGTCATCTTGCTCTACAGATTTTGTCTTTTCTCTTCCAGTAACTTCCCACTCTTATAGTGGTTGCTTGCAGCCTTGTTGGAAGTGAAGATGTTAAGAAAAAAAAAAAAAAAAAAAAAAAATTAGATACAAAAACTACAAACACATCAATTCTAGATTCCTAAATGCATATTTAAATAAATGCAATATGAGTTTTTGAAATACAAAACAAAAATGTAACATAATATTACTAAATACAAACATGTATTTGACCAAAACATATATATCAACTGACACTTGATGTAGTTGACGCTCCTAAAAATAAAATCTTAATTAACAAGTAAATAAAATTTATAGATAAAGTAAAAAATATTCTTACAAGTGTTTTTTTTTTTAGCATTAGCATTTTTTTTTTTTTAATTTTTCTGTTTAACTTTAAATTGATGTTTCACACTATCTATTTCTAAATTTTAACTAATACTACAAATTCTACTAATTTTAACTAATAATAACTAATAGTTCTAAATTTTAACTAATTCTAATAATTTTAAATTTTAGCAAAACTCATTTTTATTTTATTTGACATATATTTTGTATTTTTAATATTAAAACTGACGCTATAAGTAAGGATTTTAAGGAGACATTTTTCTATTATTTAAAAAGATTTGGTCACGAAAGTCAATTATTTGAAAGAAAAAATAGCAGAAATAAAGAGAAAATAACTACATTGAAAACAGAATCTTATTTTTTTCAATAAATTTTAAATAAAAACAAAAAAATTATTATAAATTACCATATTGCTTATATCTATACATATATATATATATATATATATATTATATATATATATATATATATATATATATATATATATATATATATATATAACCTTTGGAATTAGGGTCGGCATGCAGCAATGCCAACCTTAAAGTGTTTTAGGTCGACAAATAATGCTGACCTTGTTTCTATTTTAATGGTAAGACTTTTGAATCACTTTTTTTTGCTTTTTTGATTGATGTCGACAAACTATTGTCAACCTTTTTTTACTTAATTCCAAAGGTTGTGTATATATATATATATCTATATATATATATACATATATATATATATATATATATATATATATATATATATATATATATATATAAATATATATATATATACATATATATATATATATATATATATATATATATATATATATATATATATATATATATATATATATATATATATATATATATATATATATATATATATAATCAATAGAAATGTAGGTTTGCAATCAATCAAAGGACTATATAATTTCTTTAATAATAAGTATAATCCATTTACTTTAATAAAATTTCCTAGATAAAAAAAAAGAAGAAATTAAGGAGTGTTTCACATTGGTTACTTAGTAAATTGCCAATAGCATTCCAACACGTGATATAGTGGTTATTCATATGTTAATACAGTTATATAAGAGACAGGTGGGTAGAAAATTTCTATTTGATTAAAGGAAATTTTCTACCTTCCTGTCTCTTATATAACTGCTATGACTGGTTTAATTTTTTTAATTAGACTTACTTTTTAGTCAAAACTTTTGAACTTCACTAATAACTAATTACTAAAGTTAAGTAATTGGTTATTAGCAAAGTTCCGAAACTTGATATTGTAATATTTCAAAAAGTTCATTAATTAATGTACTGGTCCAATTATTTCGAATAGAACAATCTAAAAGTTGTTAATTAAAGATGTTGAATTATCAGCATAAACTCTCTGTATTATTAATAGGTTTTCTTTTTGAAAAATATGACTATGCATGAGATTCTGCGATGTCTAAGTCTTTCAAACAGTCAGAACTTGGTTCTTGATATAGTATATCAATTATTATACTTGAAGTACTATATCAAGTGTCAAGTATATACCTAATATATATATATATATATATATATATATATTTATATATATATATATATATATATATATATATATATATATATATATATATATATATATATATATATATATATATATATACATATAAGAAATTAAATGTTTAAAAATATATGTATATTTAAATTAGCAAGAACCTGTCTATAAGTCACTTTTCATAAGGTGCTTTTAAAATTCTCCTTGAATCTTTGGGAAGTTCCAAACCTTGATTTGGCAATATTTCAAGAAGATCATTAATTAATGTACTGGTTCCATTATAAAATAGCATAATGTTGTCGAGTAAAGACATTGAATTTAAAGAATTATCAGGATAATTATTCCATGTATCATTAACAGGTTTTCCTATTGAAAAATTCGATTCTGCATGAGATGTCTAAATCTTTGAAATTGTTAGAACTTGGTTATTGATATAGCAATGCTATACTAATAGTATATTAAGTATATATACACATAGTTTGGCATATATTAAGTTTTAAACCGTTTCTTCTATTATCTGTAAAAATTTCATTACCTGTATCAATATTACCACAATTTTCAATTGATAACAAAAACAAAAATTAGATGGAACGTGTCTATTAGTTGTTGTAAAAAGACTTCTTTTGTAATTGAAAAAAAAATTTATTAAAAATGCATTACTTAAAAATTTTGAGAAGTTTTAGCGCTTGCGTGATTTAACTGATTTTTTTTTATTTAATAAAGCATTCTGGATATTTTTTGGACGAAAAAATTATTGGACGCGAAAAAGACGTTCAAAAGACCTTTAGAATTTTAATGGGACGGACGGACGCGATTTGAACGTCCTAAGGGCGTCTTTTTTACGTCCTGTGCCCACTGGGTTAGGGGGTGTTACTAAAACTTTCATATTAAAGATAAATACGTTCTGTAAAAAGATTATGAACAACGACTAAATGTTTTATATTTTATCATTAATATCAGGGGCGGATCTAGCTATTAAAAAAGGGTAATGCGAATTTTTTTATGATAGAACCCCCTCCCCCAACATCCCTTGGGTTTCAGTATAGTCAATTTCAAAAGTGGAGGAACTGAAAAAGGCGTAGCAAGGGTGGGACGTACATGCCCCGGACAGCTTTTTTTTAGGAGTGACGCCGCTCTTTATGTGATTTATTAATAACTAAATATGCTTTGCATTGCTTTTGTAGTATCTGTTTTTTACAGAAATTTTCACAAATATTGCCTTGGCTATTTCGTTCATAAATTAGACAAATATAACTTCATATATAAATTCATATATAACTGTATTTAGTGATTTTCTGTCTCGGACGTAAAAGGATGATTTGATTTTTTATATTTTTGGAATCCAGGAGTCATAAGCTTTCACGGGCATATTGTGGTTTCTTTGGAATTTGAGTTGACACTTATTGCTCATTTAGGGTGTTCGGGATAAGTTTGACAGTTTCGTAAGAAAAAGGAAAATCTTCTTTGTATCTGTTAAATTTAATGAGTTGACAAAAAAATTACAGGCATAGTAAATTACAATACTATGAACAAAATTCACTCAAAATAACAACCATTAGCATCAATCACTGCTTCAATCCTGCTTCGGAATTTCGAACAAGCTAATGCTACAGTCTCCCTGGGAAGGGCCTTAAAAACTGTTTAAATTTTATCCACTAACTGGGCTTTTGTATTACTGGAGGTGCGATTGGTGTCTTTTTCAACTGCACCCCATACAAAATAATCCATGGGGTTAAAGTCTGGGGAGTTTGGAGGCTAAACATTTGGACTGGTGAAGTCGTATAAGTTTTCAGACAACCATTTTTGACTTTTTCCAGAGGTATGGCAAGGGGCCAAATCCTGCTGCCATACATACGGCCTACTATTGGCTACCCTTGTTATCCAGGGCTTGACTACAGTGTTTAGCAACTCTACGTAGCCATCTGAAGTCAACCTTAGGTCCTCTTGAAAAAATTGCGGAGGCATCACATCGTCTTCAGAGGATACACCAAAAACCCTCACAGTTTAGGGAAACTTAGTCTCCATTACACAAGGAATGTCCTTTGTACTGCATGCAAGCTATCTGTTATTCTGCGTGTTGTGTTTTTGATCCTGGCAAAAGTTTTTCTCATCGGAAAAGAACCAGATTGTTTGTGGTTCTACAGGATGTTTCACTTTGTCTAGAAGTTTCTTCGCGTTTCTCAAACATTTTTCACAGGCCTTTTCTGTGAGTAGCTGACCTTTGCGGCGCTTGTATGAGTAGTAGCGAAAGTCTTCATTGAATGCAAGCTTCATAGTAGAGGCTGCAACATTCATTTCACGTGACAAACCCGAATTCCAATGCCAGGGTTCTTCAACACCTGTTCCTGCAGACTTGCGAGGAATTCTGCTGTACAAATGCAATCAGATCGTTTGCTAGGGATCCTTCTTCTTACTACATCCTTGTAGTCACCATTGCAAGTCTCTACTTCATGCCTGATTGTTTTTACTGTGTTTAGGGAGCATTGGGCAGCAGCCATAATACCCTTATTTTGATGGTCGGCACGAATCCTCATGATGCAAGTTATTCTCTTCCATGATTCAGGTGGGTTCCAGTCATCCATCCTATCTGATATCTTGTATATGAATGAAAAAGGGTCCAAACTTATACATATATATGTATATATATATATATACATATATATATATATATATATATATATATATATATATATATATATATATATATATATATATATATATATATATATATATATATATATATATATATATATATATATATATATATATATATATATATATATATATATTTATATATATATATATATATATATATATATATATATATATATATATATATATATATATATAAATATATATATATATATATTTATATATATATATATATATATTTATTTTCGCCTTTTGCTTTAATACAACTAAGAACTCTTCTAGGCATAGACTCAACAAAATTTTCGCACATCGCTTCTGGGACCCCATACCAGGTCTCTTTAAGGAATTCCTTCAGCTGAGTAAGTGTGGAAATTTGAACCTTTGCTAATTCACGGTCAATCCAAGCCCAAATCTTTTCAATCGGGTTTAAATCAGGTGAGTATGGAGGCCACGATATTGTCATGATACTATTATCGTTGAACCACTCCTTTGTATAGTATGCAGTATGTGCAGTAACGCCATCTTGTTGAAGTTTCCATGGTTTATCATTGAGCATAAGCAGGTCAATTGATGGAATTAAGTTGTTTTCCAGTACTTCTACGTATATTCTGGAGTTGATTCTTCCGGTGTATGTTTGGCACATACCAACACCTTTATAATCGAAGCATGACCAGATTCCTATCGAGCCTCCTCCACTTTGTACAGTCGGTCTAATGTACCTGGCGTAATACTTTTCATGAGCCATTCTTTTGACTGTTATGTTAGATTTGCGATTGATAAGCTCAAAGTTACTCTCATCACTCCACATAATGTTTTACTATTGTTCTATTGTTCAATACCTTCTTTTACCACACCATTTTAGTCTCCTTTGTTTATCATATGGACGCAGAAGCGGTTTCTTCAAAACAGTGTAGACTCCAATCTTGTATTTGATAAGTATTCGGCGGACTGTACTTTGAGAAATAGATGTATTTCGCGTTGTATTAAATTCTGTGGTTGATTAAATTCTGTGGTTAGAGCTAATCCAAGAATTTGTAACAAATTCTTGGATTAGCTCTAACAGCTCTAAAATGAACACTATCGTCTTTTCTAGTGGTTGACAAGGGTCTACCTGGCCTCGTTTTCTCGCTGGCGCCACCAGTGTAAAGAAAGTTTTATTTCGTTGTCCGAACGCATTTCTCAGAAACTCAAATTAACTTGGCGATTTTTCTATTACTTTTGGTTCCTTCTTTGATGTGCGCAATAATTTGCCATCTTTCACCTTGAGTGATTCGTCTTTTGCCCATTTTTCGCGTCGTTTTAGTGCAAAACTAACTTAACTTTTGTTTATGTATTAAATAATGATTAACTAATTCCAGGTAAGTCATATTTATATAAATTTTTTTTGACAAAATCAATTACTTTAGACCTATTAATGAGAAATATGGGGAAAAAAACTACTAATTAACTATCGATTAACAAGATATAAGACTTTTTTGATTGTGCGTCTAAATTTATGAACAAAATAAAATCAAGCTTATCAACTAACTTTTTTGTGTTAATCGGTATAGAATGAATAATAAATATCCTGTAAAAAAAAATAAGGTACTCTTTAATAGAGTTTCACTTCCTCTTGTAAATTATATATCAAACATAGCGGTTGTACTTTTATTTTATTTTTATTTTGAGTATTTTCTTACATATATGAAAAAAAATGAATGCGTCTAAATTTATGAAAGCTACTGTGTATATATATATATATATATATATATATATATATATATATATATATATATATATATATATATATATATATATATATATATATATATATATATATATATATATATATATATATATATATATATATATATGTATATATATATATATATATATATATATATATATATATATATATATATATATATATATATATATATATATATATATGTATATAATTGATTAAAAACATCATGTTCGATTATATATTATTTTTATTATTAAATGATGATATTTTGGCTTATATAGTATAAAGCATTATCAAACTGAAAAAACCGTTATACAAAATTTATTAAAACTAAAAACAAAAATGATGCTATTGCAACGTTGCAGATTTAGACTTAACTTTAAAAAAAATTGGTCTCCAATGGCATGTCATCACTAAGTTACCATTGTTGCATTTTAAGATATACTCCTGTGAATAAGAGCACTGTAAGCGTTGTATTTCAATTGCTAAGTTATTATCTAGCAACCAGGAAAATTTATTAAATCTTGGCCCACAATTTGTACCATCAAAAAATCAAATTTTGTTTATGGACATTATAGTATCAACTGAAAAATGTGCAGGAAAATGTTAATATTGAAAAAGATGAATTTTTGCGACAAAATGTAAGCAAAACATTAAACAAGTTTTTAAATGTAAAAATAGCTAGTAATTTTTCTAAAAATCAATATCTAGCTTTAAATGAACTAAAAAACTCGAACTAAATAAAGATATACCCTTTTGATAAAGGATGTTGATTTGCTATTTTAGATTCAGAATCAGCAATAAAAAAAATCAAAGATCAACTTGGTAACTGTACTATTTCTGCTGTCGATCCTACACAAAATTTTCTTTGTTTAATTCAACAAACTCTCAGTAAATTAAAAAAAGGAAAAAAAAAATTGATAAAAAAACTTATGATAAAATATATCCTTCTGACGCTGTTCCACCTAGATTATATGGATGCATTAAAGCACATAAAAGTGATAAAGGTTAGTTATGCGAACTATAGTTTTAACTATTGGTAAACCAGCTCATAAATTTTTGCAACATCTTTTTGAAATAATACAACCTACATTTACTACAAAAAAATTCTTTTCATTCATATCTGAGGCTAA